CGTTCATCAGTGAGTGAAGAGTTTTTATCTATTAGCCACATTGACACTGTGACTGGACTTTTCTCGTACAGAGCCTACGAAGGTCCACGGGGTACATGGGTTGGACCAACATGGCAGGTGGTATTGGCGATGTCCGTTCGTAACAAAGGTGGGAAGTGTGATGACGCACCCAGGCGCAGGCTCGCGCTGTACCGGCCACTAGTGTCTCATTCCACCGTTGGTTTTCTTGACTCGATCTTGATCTCGGGCCAATGTGTATGTGTGGCAGGGAGACTGTGATAGATGCTGCACAAGTTTATTACCTCGGCAAGTCCCCGTCCCTGCGCCCAATATGCTCCGGGTCACATGAGGGACATCGTCGGAATCAACGATCAAACTGCCATCGTCGTTATCTGACTATACTCGATCGCTGTTTTTTTTTCTCGGGATAGTTGGCCGAGGCCAACGGGTGGTGGGTTGCTACCAAAAATCTTTCTCATCGCATTTATCTGTCTTCTCATGAACAAGTTTTCACAAAGTCCCCCACTACATCTTCCTGGCAGATCGATGACGTATGTCGGCAATGTCTTGGGGAAGAAGCCAGCATGTGTAGGAAGGCAGGAGTTAGCAGTGGTGTCGAAGGCGTGACTACTTCTATTGCAAATGTGCCTGCCGTCGTTGTTGTTGCCGACGTCGATGATGATGCTGATGACGACGGTGATGATGGCGATGATGCACTTAAAAGATTAATTGCCTCTCACGCTCGCCGGTAACAGCTGCTGCTGCTGCTGCTATCTCCGTGTGCACATTGAAGACCATCCGTTGCGAGGGTGGGGTGGGGGGTGCTGTCAATGGGGGGTTTAGGTGCTGTTCTCTAAGCTCGAGACACGAAACACATCATTCGCCGGGTCGGCGGCGGCTGCGGGGGTGATGGTAGTGTAAGTCATCATTCCCGTCCGTCCCTTTACGCCCCCTTCTTGCTTGCTTGCCGGCTCAGTGTCAGCGTGACATTTAGTGTTTTGGGAAACGGCCACACCGGCGCTCTGACACGATTTACAAACCGCGCCGCCTTGTCATTTTTTTGCCGTTCGTCCATTCTAGGCGTCGCTCGCCCCGCCCCCTCTCCTGCCCTGGTGGTGTTCGGACAGTCAGTTCATTTAGCGTACTCTGCCTCCTACACCTTTCGACTGGCCGGACGCAGGCAGAAGTATGCACGAGGCAAACGCTCTGCCCTTTCGTACAGTTGAAGTTGCAGTAGCATCTGCGTGTACGTGTAACACGGTGTCTACTTAGACGCAAGCGGTCTGTTGTTCGTCCCGGCTATTTTGAAGACAAGCAATCCCTTCTCGGCGTACTGTTGCTGTTATATCTTTAACTGGCAGAGTATTAGTTTGGACCTCTGCTTTTTGCTATCCCGCCTTTCGGTCTTCGCTATCCTCTACCACCGTGAAGTAGCATAAGCTTATCCTGGCTTGCATAATTGCATCATTTGACCGTATTTCACACAGATCAGGCAAGTAATTATCGAGAAATTCTATGTAGGCGGATTATGTACCCTCAGCAAGGCACGGCGCCAGGAACCAGCCCTAATACAGGTGGTTTGCGTTAATTTTCAGGGGAAATAGGATTTAAACTTAAGTAGGGCTAGGTTTAGGGGTAGGGTTATGGTTAAGATTAGGGCCACAGCTAAGGTTTGGGTCAGGGATAGCGTTTGGGTTAGGACATTAGAATATCGACCCCCCAACCCTGGAATTTAGCTTAAAGCTACCAGTATTACATGGTTAGCATTCCTATTCCGTATTCTGTCGGGGGGAGGGAGGAGGGGGCAGATAAGCTTTTCCGACCCAAAGCAGACCTTAAATTGCTTGGTTTTTATGGAAGAGGCGTGTTTTTCCAATCCATTGGCGTTACTTTGTTCCTTAGATAAGTGGAGGAGGGAGAGGCCATTTATAGCCGATCTGCTTGTCGGTCAGAACGAGGTTGAACCGAACTGGTGAGGAGGTGGTTTCGTGGCCCCAGGCTCCGATTTGCTCCACCCTTTGCAAACGGTTGTCAATTAGCACTTGAACTTCCAGAAAGAACCTTATTTATCCCATTTAGCGGGCATAAAATTCATTTATTCAATAAGCTGCACAGAAGGTGGATACTGCGACGAAATTCTTCCTTTACACGAATGCTGGGTTCCCGGACAAAAACCCTTACATTGAATACCAAGATCTTTGCAGGCTAGCTGCCACCTTAGGCTGAAATGTATAGGGCCACCGTACAACTAATGACACAGTTGCCGATGCGTGCGTGTATGTGTATGTGGAGAAGATGGATACTGCATGCGGTTTGCTCTGAATACAAACATGGACTAGCTTGTGGCGCCAGGGGGGGGCGGAAGTAGTTACAAATGCATGTAGTCTGGGCCCTGCCTGAGCTCAAGTGTGAAACGGGGGATTCTTCTGAATCAGGCATGTCGCATTCCGTGTATTCATCGGCACTCATAGGAGCTCCCTTCGACCTTGCATATACAATGGAAATCGTATAAGTCTCAGTTCGAGGCCGGTAGGCCGAAGGGGTTTACGAGCACATCTTCCTGGAGTCACTTAATATAAGCAGTTTTCCGATTACGAATTGCCCACTTGGAGTCTCCTGGGCTCAAAAACATACAAGTCGGTGGTAGATAGCCTCCCAGCAGGATAGGGTGATAGAAACGCCTCTCCCCACTTTCCCGTATAAAACAGATAGCATGGCACTACATTTCCGAGGGGGGGGACTTATTCCCACTTCCTGACTCTAACTTTCACCCTGATTTCCCTGGAATTTAGCATTACGTGGTTTTTCTATTACCTTGCCTGGCGGATGTTTTCATCTGTTTCCTTCTTCGGGTGGAGTAGAATCGACAGTTTTCCTCTTGAGAGCGTGAACACGTATGCCAAGAGCTTGCCTGCCGAGGTTTTAGCCCACGGCTTTGCTGTCTTCCATGCGAGTGGGGTTGGACTACCAACCGAGGAGATGATCACACGTAGTAGCGAGCAACGCAGCGATTTGCGTGATCTCGACACGATGGCGACGACATGAGCAGAGC